TACTAATTCATCATTCTCATGAGAAGTATACATGGGTTTTCCTTGTAGAACCACTGACCATCCTTTGTTAGCGGGATCAGTGACATAAAACACTTGTTTTGCCTGAGATGCCATGATAAATGGTTCTTCGGTATAACGAGTATTTTCAAGGTTAACTAAGGTAAATCCAAGATCGTCGGTGAAGATGCCAAGTATTAAAATCAACCCACTTACATTTAAAAATAGGTACTCTGAATATCGTGTAATCTATTACCCAAATCTCTTCAATTACACCAAAGTAGCCCATTGACGCTAGTTATCGGATATTTATCCTTTGAACTCGAGAAATGCATTGATTCAACCACCACCATGACTCCACTATTTTGCATTGTGCTTATTTCATCTTCTCCCTTTGTATAAAATGAATAGTTATTTATATCATACCCACCCCAACATATCACATCAAAGTTTGGCTCACATGCTAGCCACTTTAGTGTATCAGAAGCTGTATTGTCACCTTCAACTTGTTGTTTAAACCACTTCAAAAAGCTCTTGTTGTGTTCAATGATCATCCACTTTTTAGGCATACGTGGATTATTTCGCTTCACAATGTCTTTATGAGCACTTAAGTAGGGGATGACTTCTTCACTGTTATTCAATATGTACAAATGCGCTTGAAGTACTTCATCTCGACACATTGTCACAACTTTTGCACCTCGAGTTCCTCTACCAAGACCTATTCCATGGTAACGAGTCTTAGGTAACCCTATAGCTTCAACTTCTGATAAGTATTGTGTGCAAAACTCAATAGCTTCCTCTGCAATATATCTTTGAACAATTGATGCTTCAGGACGATATTGGTTCTTCACATACCCTTTTAATATCTTCATGTATCGCTCAATAGGGTACATCCATCGTAAGAAAACTGGACCACAGATTCTAACTTCCCGGGCTAGATGAACAATCAAGTGAACCATAATATCAAAAAATGATGGAGGAAAGTACATCTCAAATTGACATAATATGACTGCAGTCTCATTCTCTAACTGATCCAAAACATCCGGGTCCATAACTTTACTACATATGACATTAAAGAAAAAACATAATCGAGTTAAGGAATATCTAACATTCTCTGGTAAGATACCTCGAATAGCCACAGGTAGAAGTTGTTGCATCAATACATGACAATCATGAGATTTTAACCCAAACAATTTTAGATCTTTCATAGATACAAGTCTCTTCACATTGGAAGAGTAACCAAATGGAACCTTCACACCTCGTAAAAACTCACAAAAACTTCTTTTCTCTTTTTTAGACAGTGTGTGACATGCTGGAGGCAAGTATGTTCGGTTACCATGAGGTTGAGGAGCTAATTGTTCTCTTATACCCATTTCAACCATGTCCAAACGAGAATTGACACCATTTTTTGTTTTTCCTTGAATGTTAAGGAGCGTTCGATGATACTTGTCACACACATTTTTCTCTACATGCATGACATCTATACAATGCCTCACATCAAGAACCCTCCAATATGGAAGAACAAAAAGGATTGACATTTTCTTCCATATACCTGTGGCTTTCTTTTGCGTCTTTCCAAACTCACACGAAATCGCACTTGCTCGTTGATATACTTCTTCCCCACTTAAAGGTGTTGGGGCTGCATCATTTTCTTGACACCCGTTAAATGATTTTTTTAATTTACGATATGAATGGTTTGAAGGAAGAAATCTTCAGTGTCCAAGGTACACTGTTTTCCTTCCATGTTGTAGTTGATAGTGACATGTGTCTTCTTCACATATCGGGCAAGCTTTATGTCCCTTTGTGCTGTAGCCACTCAAATTATCATATGCTAGAAAGTCATTAATTGTACAAAATAACATTGCACGCAACTTGAATAAGTCACCTGTGTACCCATCAAACACATCAACACCTTCCTCCCACAACATCTTCAACTCTTCAACCAATGGGCTTAAAAAAACATCAATGTCATTTCCAGGTTGTCTGGGACCCGAGATCATCAAAGATAGCATCAAGTACTTACGTTTCATACACAACCATGGAGGTAAGTTGTAAATAACTAACACCACAGGCCATGAACTATGTTTACTGCTTAAATTTCCATATGGATTCATTCCATCTGTAGCAAGTCCAAACCTAATGTTTCTTGGATCATTACCAAAATTTTGGAAGATGGAATCAATTTTTTCCCATTGCAATCCATCTGCCGGATGCCTCAACTGACCATCTTTAATACGACTATCCGCATGCCATCTAGTGAGCTTTGCATCATTTCCATTAGTGAATAATCGTTTCAACCTTGGAACAATGGGAAGATACCATAACACTTTTGCCAGGGTACCCTTCATTACATCATTGTCGGAATCACCATCCTTCTTCTTGTATCGTGATTCCCCGCATTGTGGACATTCGTGAAAGTTCTCAAATTCTTTCTTGTACAACACACAATCATTCGGACATGCATGAATTTTTTGGTACTCCATACCCATTGGACACAATATCTTCTTAGCATCATAATTGCGGGTTGGCAATGTGTTACCTTCAGGGAGCATGTCACTCAACAACTCAAGCAATTCCGTGAAACTTTTATCGATCCACCCATTCTTTGCCTTCACATTGAACAATTTTAGTACCACCGACAATCGTGTGAACTTAGTACAATTTGTATACAAAGGATTTTTTGCATCATTGGACAACTTCTCGTACACATGTGTATGTTGGAAGGCATCTTGTCCAAGCTCACGAATCATTTCCTCCAGCTGATCATCCATCTCTAGATCAACTTCTTCTTTGTCTTCTACACTTGGCATGTTTAATAATTCACCATGCCATGTCCACTTTATGTAACTCTTTAGGAAACCATCACAAAGAACATGTTCCCGAATAACTTCAGTCGGTAATCTTCGCTCATTCAAGCAGTTAACACAAGGGCAATAGAATCTTCCATCATTATCCGGAACATTCATCTTAACAAATTCAAGGAATTGTTCTACTCCACTCTCATATTCATTTGTTGTTCGTCTATAATTGATCCAACTCCGATCCATTGTTACCTTCTGTCACATAACACAACATATAAGTATAGTTTGAGGATGATAACATCCAACATGTTCTGCTGATATTGTGATGTCACGTGATTGGATATTTTAATCTTTCAATATGAAGTTCTATCCTACAATGGATCATTTCATGACTGACTCCAATCAAGGCTAACCGTATTGTCTCACATTAGGGTGAGCATAAGCGATGATAGTTTTCGCTTAAAATGAAATAACTACATTATAATACAAATCTAATTTTCAAAATCAAAATCACGAAAGAATGCCTACAGAAACACATTCAAATGACTAAACTACTTACAATACGTCTCTAAATTAGCTAAAGGCACCCGTGAACTTCCATCTCTTGACAACATTATTACATACCAGATTAAAAAATGTAAACCTACAATGGCTAAAGCAAGCACGAAAACTTACCTCTTGAAGACCTACAGAGGTGGCAGGTGGCGTGACGTGCAGAGCTGGGTGGGGAGAAACGTACACAGGCGACAGACACCAACGACAGTAGCAGCAGGCGGTACGACGTACATAGTTGGCAGGTGGCGTGACGAGCAGAGCTGGGTGGGGAGAAACATACAAAGGCGAAGACGTTCGTAGAAGATACAAAGAGAACGGGGAGCTCTGCTATGGGTGAAGTGAGAAATGGAGTGTCGCGGCAGGTGTAAAACAGAGGATATTATGTCGGTTGCTCTCACACCCGTCATCAAATATACTTTCTATGTCGGTTAAAATTTAACCGACATAGAAAGTCGGGTAAAACTTAACCGACATAGAAAGTTCACTTTCTATGTCGGGTAAATTTTAACCGACATGGAAAGTGAACTTTCCATGTCGGTTAAATTTTAACCGACATAGAAAGTGAACTTTCCACTTACTATGTCGGTTAAAATTTACCCGACATAGAAAGTTTATGATTTTATTACAAAATTGCCACCACGCTACACATTATGACGGGTGAACTACGACCATGATAAAAACTCGTTATAGAATGCTATTTTTCCACTGGTTAATAGAAAATCTTCATAATTTATGAAAAATTGATTTTGCTGTAGAAAGGTTCATCTAAACAATTTTCAAAATGAGTTTTTTATAAATTTTTTGGACTAACTTTCCCAAAAGCTTTTTAAAAACGTTTTGAAATCGATTTTCTAAAATATTTCTGAAAAGTTCATTCCATAACGTTTGCAGAAAGTTTTGAGACAGTTTAATCTAAATTTTTTTCAACAAAACTCGTTCAAAATCTTTTTTGGAAGAATGAATGCAAAATAATACATAGGACCTCCTATGGATTTCACTACATTTTCCTCCACTTCCATAAAAAAAATTTGGCATGGGCTACCATAGTGTTTCCTTCAACATGGAAGAAGGAGATACAGGACTATACATGCGAAAGTTAAAGATGTGCAAAATATATTTGTCATTTAACTACGAGAAAAAATAAATGGATGTACAAAAAGGATTTGCTTTATTTTTATTTTTTTTCTAATATTCGGACCGCTGTTATTGTGACCAGCCCCACTTTGCATTATATCTCAAGAATACTTTCTCAGCACTATCTCTGACAGAATAAAAAAAAAGAACAAATAATGTAGCAGAAGTTATGTCATTAGTTTATTTATTAATCTCGATTGGATTTAGAAAAAACTAAAACCCGGGAAAGATTAAATTCATAAGAGACCAGCGGGAAAAGAATTAAATGCTTTCTACGAATAGAGAATATTACCACCAAGAGATGAAGTCCAAACAGAAAAGATCATGCCATATAATACCCATTCTTTTTCAGCAAAGATGGGAACATTAAGCAGCCACAAGAGAAAAGCCAGGAGCTTTTCCAAATTGACATAGAAACAGGTCCATTATGAGCTACTGGAAGCTAAAGTACCCATACAGACTACAATTACAAGTTCCATAGCATATAAAAAGTATAGAGTAAGATGACAGAGGCTAAGTGATAAGGTGTTGAAGGGAAGGTTGGTAGGAGATGAGAAAGAAAAGCAAGAGAAGGAGAAAGGCAACACCCCAAGGGGAACCACCAGCTCTGTGGATGGCACTGGGCTCAGATCCTGGGATGGGGAAGCTTATCTGGGTGCCAGTGGAGAGCCAGTGAACAATGATGACCAAGAAGAGTGGAGAAATGACCAGCAAACGTTGGAGCAAGTCTGATGCAGTGGCCATAATTGCATCATACACTATGTAACCCAGAAACCCCCCAATGAGGGCTGTGGCTGCCATCAAGAGCCAGTGCTCTGAGAAGCTGAACCCTGATCCTGATCTGCTCACTGAAGAAGCCATGTCTGAGGGAGAGTGCTGCTGTCTGCAATGTAGAAACACTTATTTGTATTGTTGCCTTGTGAGGAGCTGCACAATGCCAGCTGTCTTTGGATTTATTTCAGTACATCTGCACTGGATTTGTTCACCATGCTTTGTGACATCCAGAGAAACAATTTTGCTTCCTTTTCTTCTTGACTCTCAAAATAAATATTATGTAATTAGGTGAGAAGTTATTACTAGAAACTTCGTATGAAATAGAAATGTGAGTGAGAGCATGTGATTTTCAGTATCGATGCTAAGACGGGTAAGTCTCCGCTGGCGGCAATGTAGTTTTAGTTTGTTAATTAACTTTTGTTTATTTTACGTACATTTATTAAATCATTATTTTTTCACTTTTGTTATAAAAAATTAATTTAAAACATATTATATTTTTAAATATATAAATATATTATAATATATAATTTAAATCATACATATGAAATATTTTAATATATAAATATAATAATTTTTAATTTTATTTAATTAAATATTACTTAATAAATAAACATTTTAAAAATATTTATATAATTAAAGATATAATTTAAAAAATATATATATAAAACAATTTCATGTATAAAAAAAAATTATTCATGTAGTAACCCGTTAACCTAGTCCTCGCCAGCTGATGTGAGGCAGAATCTTCCGTTTCACCACTCTGTAGGTTTGCCCAATTAATGTCAGAAATGATATAAAATAATTTAGAGTTTAGTTACTTAATCATGAACATGAAAAAATACTGATACATTTTTTTCTTAACGTTTTTCTATTGTTTATCTTTTAATAATGATTTATTTTATATTTTTAATATATTTTATGATTGTAATATTTATTATAATTTATAAAGATATAATAGTAATTTTTTTTATTTTTATAAAAATTATTAATATTAATAAATTTATTATATATTTTTAAGTTTATAAAAATATTAATTTATTAAAATTGGTTGAATCTTATTAAATAATTTTTAAATTATGTTTTTATCTTACCAATCCAATTATTTAAAATTGACATAATTATATGAAATAAAAAAATTATATCTTTTAAAAAATTATATTAAAACATTATTTTAATTTTTTTTAATAAAATCGATTCGATAAAAAATTATATTTAATTATAATTTGATTATTTCAAATCAATTAATCAAATTTTAAATTAGTAAAAATGATTAAGAAGTTTGAGTATGAGAAAATAAATTCAATGTATACGAGTTTCAGATATATTTCAAATTGTTTCAACTTGGTATGATGCTATAAAATCTATTCACCAATATAATTCTTTAAAACAATAATTATTGATAATACAACTTATAAGTTTTATAAATAATATTTTGTATAACATGATACTATTTTTACAGTAAAATATATTTTAATTAATTATAATTGTATACTTCTTTATTTTCTGTTTAAATATATATAATTTTCATATTCATACAACGTGTCAACAATTAAAGTTAAGTCGGATTTTCTCATATAGACTGGTCCTCAGCAAAATTAGTACATATATACTTCTCTATTATTATATAAAATATATTTTCTTTATTTATTAAATTATATTATCTTTTATTAAATAAAATAATTATTTTTTTAATGAAAAATGAAGAGAAAATAAAAGAAAAATAAATTTGAGAAAAAATATATTATAAAGAGAGGGAGAAAGATAGTATGATATGGATAAAAAAAGAGAAAAAAAAAAAGGTAAAAAAAATTAAATAATTATTTAAAAAATTAATAATATAAAAACATGTACACATTTCCCTTAACCCATTTCCACTTATAGTTACTAAAAGAATTTAAGTTGACTAGAAATCATCTATATTTCAACTGTTACTGTCACAGGCACCAACAAAACAGTAACACAGTTGTGATGTATGTCTGTGTCTGTGCACTGCATCGAATATTGAATTAAATACGCGAACGCAAGCTTACAAAGAGCTTTTTGGTCTGCAACAATAATAGTGTTTATTTTAAGAATAAATTAAAGATTTTGTGTTTCGAAAAAAAGTAGGTTGGAGACATTGCTGAAATAACCTAACGCAGTTTCCATCGTTCGTACAAGTGACACTGCTCATTGAATCAAATTCCTATTCATTGCACTCTGTTTGTTTGTTTAACTTGCTTGGATATCTCTGGGAATAATTTATTTCCAATAATCCTATTTTGTGTGTTTGAAATCTCATTTGAAAGCAGAGAATCATCAGTCCCAAAAACCAGGAAATTTTAATTTTTATTGTTAATTTCTGGTTGAACTTGAAAAGAAAAACACACACACATTGATAACGTGGATTCGGAACTTGCGGTCACAAATATGTGTTTGAAAAATAATGTTGTCCTCCTCCTGCGTAACACAGTAAAGGACTCCTGCCTAACACAGTAAAGGACCACCTACCTGGTTGCTGACAGTGCTCGATAACTAAGTCACCAAATAAACAATGGCAAAAGTAGGATCTTTACTATTGATTAAAAAAAAACAAACTAAATGATATATTATTAATAAATAATAAATAAATATAAAAAGAAGTAAGAAGATAAAAAAAATAAAAAATAAAATTGTAAATATATATTTAAATATATTAAATAATAATTAAGTTTGAGAGGATAAAACCATAAATGATATGAGAATTATAAAAATGAGAAGAGACCTGGAAGGATAAAATTGTAAATATACAAGTAAATATATTAAATATTTAAATTTGGGAGAGTCAAAATCATAAATTATATGGGAGTTACAAAACTTGGGAGTCACGACTCCATTTAGCTTCCAAGAAGATCCACCACTGCACATAATGTATATTAGAAAAATACATTTTAGAGAGAATATTGTTTTTGTTTTATCCCTTGAAAGAATATTGTTTGTGTTCCTCTTTATAAATATATGATAGTATTTTATAATTGATAATATTTGGATATATAATTGTTCTTATGAAAAAATTACCATGATAACATTTCAACTACTTAAAAAACACTTTGATGCTTGTTTTAAATATAGAGACAAGAAAAATATAGAGACAAGAGAGAAGTATATCAGAATGAGATAAGTATTAGTAGCTATTTTAGGTATAAATTATAACTTGTTTTAATGTCAATAATTACTCAGTAAATACAATATTATATATAATGGAATAATTAGATATATTAATTGTGTATTATTACTATATGTTTTTAAATAAATTAATTGAAATAATATTTCTATTAGACCTAACAAATGTGAAAATTCATGCAACTCATAAATCTCTTATTATTTAGGAGTTGACATCAATGATAGTTTACACACATTCTTATTTCTTAACTTACCAAATGAGATTCCTATTAAAGATAAATCATGACGTAATGGAATTCCAAAGATAATAACTTAGAAGTAATGGATCTTAACAATGTAATTATAACGGACATGAAGCTCAGATATTCTTATTCTTAGAAGGAACAATAATCTTTACTAAAAATATGTTTACACTCTTAGTTGTTTTCCTATTTTATAGGAATATAGGAATAATGTGAGATATGCATAAATAACTTATTCATGTGCAATGTGATCCATTTTCAAACCATTATTATAGAAGTTGTATGGAAGTAAGTTTGCATCACATTTTGAAGTTTTATAATGGACAAAACTCTATAAATACCATATATGCTTTGTGCTTTAGGTTTTTAAATCTATTCTCTTTTATAACATACTACATCATCAAAGTTTGAGAGAGTATTAATTTAAAACCATAGAAATACATTTTTGAAATTTTTTTTTGCAACAATAACAATGACAAATGATTTGTCTTATTTCCTATTTTTGCATTTTTTAATTTTACATTTGGTATCAAAACAAAGATAAATAAATACCTTTTGTCTTGTCATTTTTTTGTGTTGAAATATTAATGAGCTTATGGTTTTATACATGAGATGTAGATGTATTTAATATGAATGATGGGAAATATAGATTTTTTAATATCGGTTATGGTATAGTTGTTATCTTGCATATATGAATGTGTATGAGTTCAATTCTCTACTTAATGTTGAGTGGTGGATATAATAAATTAGAGAGTAACAACATCATTAATGGATTAATATTTATTACCACAATGTAGGCATTGATTATAATTAATTATATGTAATTAATTAAGATGTCTTTAAAATAATCTTAGTTGGAAATATAGAGAATAAACTAGACTTGAGGATTATTAGTGGGTATTTTATTCGATATGTTCAACAGTCTAAAGGATATAAATTCTATTATCTATCTCAAAGCACTAGAATTTTGGAATCAAGAAATGCAAAGTTTATTAAAAATGACTTGATTAGTGAGAGTAATTTAGTTCAAGATATTGATTTTGAAAATGATTACTATAAAGTTCAGTTATCTCAATCACATAATAAACTATTAATCATTCAGGTTCCTCCAATTTAAGAGTGTGCTAAACAACTAGTGATTTGAGTTTCACACATTGTTGAAAATGATAATGTAAATCAAATTATTGATAAGGAACAACAAATAAATGTTGAAAACCTGTTGAGCAACCAACTGAGTAACAAGTTTCTCATCAAGATAGTGAGACATCATTAAGAATATCCATAAGAATCAAAAGATAAATAATTTTTAGTGATTATGAAATGTACTCTACAAGAATCAGATTATAACATTGATGCCGAAAAGATCTTGAAACATTTTTATAGGCCATGAGTTTTGATGAATCAAATTTGTGGTAGAATGCCATGAAATTTGAGATGGATTTAATGATGTGTAATCAAATATAAGATCTTGTTGAGCTACCTAATGGTGTAAAATCCATTAAATGTAGATGGATCTTTAAAACTAAGAAAGACTCACAAGATAACATTGAGAAACATAAAATAAGACTTTTTGGATGATTTACTTAAAGAGAATGAATTAATTATAAGGATACATTTTCTCTTATAACTAAAAAAGATCCTTTAGAACTAATCATGACATTTGGCATTAAAATTCATAAAGAAAGATCTCAAGGTATTTTGGGT